ATAATAATCTCATTTCTATAAATAACCATATTACCATAAAATTATCCCTACTTTTTTATTATTATTACACAATTACCACTACTTTTTATACTAATATACTCACAAGGGCAAAAAAGTCATTTACCTTTACTTTTTACCAACTACCAATATAATATCAATATTCCTTAAATCTTGTGTCCAACACAATAAGACTATACTTTTGGGACGGAGGGAGTCTTATATACTACCTCCACTCTCGTCCAAGTCTAAGGGTTTCATTTACTTTTCGCGTGTTGATCTTTAAATATTAATTATTATATCAAAACGTAGTACAAATTGAGAAAAAAAAATTGTAAAATACTTTCATTAGTGTGTTATAATACTAATAAAATGATATTTGTACTAAAAATTTATACAACTATAAAGATATTTTTAATATTAAATACAATAAAAAAAAATAAATGTGACTCTAAGATGAAGAGTAATATATATTATATTCTTTTACAGAAAAAATAAATATTCAATAAAAAATAATATTTTTATATTAAAAATACAATTTTGTGTACCTCATATAAAAAATATCTCAAACTAAAATATTAAACAAATATACTCATGCATGGATTCTTATAAATTATCCGTTTATTTTGAATTTTATCTTTTTTAAAATAAAATAAATATTGAGTATAATTTATTTTTCCGTCCACCAACACCAATTTAATTTATATATTTTTACAATATATTTATTTACAAATATGTCACAACTTATACATTCAATTTAAAAAAATAAAAAAAATAAAAAATTCTCACCTAATTAATTCATTTATATAGATTTTAAAATATTCTCGTAATATATCATAATCAACTAATACAATATTAAATTCATTAAAATAAGTGTCAAACTCAAATGACCATAAATTTTGTGGATTGATAAATCATTTATAATATATATATTTATATAATGTTAAATAAAATGTTGAAATGTTTGTTTAATTTGTTGTGTATTTGGAATAATAGTTTTAAATTAAAATAATTATTTGATATAATACAAGTATATATTTGACATGATTTTTTAATATAAAATAAATTTTAAATGTAATATATATAAAAAAATAAAAAAATAAATGTATTATTTGTAATTTTATTGAAAAAATAATAATTTTTTTGTCGGCCAAAATTATTAGACACCGACATTAACAAATAATGATATTTCAATATAAATATGAATAAATAAATAAAATAATCTATTATAAATAATTTATTAAAAAAGAATATAATTAAGAAAAATAAATTAAATCACGGCATATTAAACAAAAATTATCAAACCACTCCAACAAAAATGTTTTTCATCATTATTTTCCTCTCCTCCCTTTTTAAAAATGTTTAATAATGCAATTGTAGAAATCTAAAAAAATAATAAATAAATAAATATTACCAAAAATTGCACAATATTAAATAAATTCCTACCAATAGAAAATAAAAAATAATAATAATAATAAGTGTCAAAATATGAAGTGATATTTTTATTACACAACCAACAAAAAATAAAATAAAAAATCAAAATGTCTAGCCGTACAATTACAACATAATTTACTTTCAATTTCTTTTGCGAATTAAATGAATTTTAGCAGCATTTCTTCATCTACACAAAGAATTCTTCTATCTCAAATCGATCTTTTTAATATAATTCATCCAGATTTTGGATGAATTTTTTCGTAGTTTTGTTAATTTATATTTTTAGATTTTAATATTTTTAGTAGAAATTATCGAATTTTATTAAATTTTCTTAAATATTTCTCTAAAAATTTACTCCTTCCGTCCTCGATAAAATAGACATGTTATTGTAGATACGAGAATTTAGGTAAAGTATAATTAATAAGTAATTAAGAAGCGTATTAATAAAAATAATTATTATTTAGTAAAAATAATTATAGATTTAAGATTAAGATAACTAAATAATTTAATTAAGATTAAAAAAATTTTAAATTTTAAATTTTTAAATTTAAAATATAATTAAAGTGTATAATCAATTTTCCAAAAAAAGAAAGGATAAATTATGTGGGATAAACGAAAATAAAAAATAAGGACAAATTATGTGGGATGGAGGGAGTAATTTTTAGCTATTCTTTTTCTTTTTTTTTTTTTGTTTTTTCGGTTGCATTAGGAGAAAACGAAAAAGACAATATTAAATAAAATAAATAAATAAATTGACAATTTTCTTAAAAAAACAAAAAACATAGCATATTTTGCGCTATATTAAAACATAAATAGAATACGGGAAGCAATAGACTTTATCTATTATTTAGGCTAATTGTACAAAATTCACATGTAATTTCACAAAATTGCACGAAACCCCCAATTCTTTTAAAACTGCATTAAATTTTCTTGTGGTTTCATAAACTTTGCATTTAACCTCCTCAACCGTCCTTATTTAACGATATTTGATCTATATACACTCAAATTGCGAATGAATTTCAAATTATTAATTTTTAAAATCTTAAAATTATAAATACATTCATTTATTTATATTTAATCTTAAAGAATATTTAAAAAAAAAAAGTTTTAAAAATATCGGCTAACAAATTCTCCCACCATATAAATAGTACTCCCTCCGTCCCATATAATTTGTTCCTATTTTTTATTTTTGTCCGTCCCACATAATTTGTTCTTTTCTTTTTTAAAAAAATTAATTATACATTTTAATCATATTTTAAAATTTAAAATTTAATTTTTTTTAATTTTAATTAAATTATTTAGTTATCTTAATTTTAATTTATAATTATTTTTATTAATATATTTTTTAATTACTTATTATTTATACTTTACCTAAATTCTCTTGGAGTAATAATAATAATAGCAATAGTTGAGAAAGAGACAGGCAATCATAGTTGGAATATATTGGGTAGCGCATGGCACCACGTGTACGAGGGATCATAATACCCTAATCCACGTGTTGCTTTACATAATATAATCACAGCCCTTACTCAAAGATTTTGTTTTTCTTAGGTCGGTATATTGTGGTTTTAATAATTCATAAATTTTTAAATATTAAACTAAATATTTATATTTTTATATTTTATCCGTCTCATTGAAAGGTTATCATTTTTTATTTTTGTTTGTCTCAAAACAAGGTTATTTTTGTAATTTAGTAATTATAGTACCTACTTAACATAATAAGTACCTTTTCAATTTACAATATATTACACAAATATCATTACTTTTATATTACACCATACTAATAGGGGTATTTTTGTTTTTTTACTACAATCCAATATAATACTAATATTCAAAAATCTACATGGAAAAAACAAACGCCACACTTCCAACAGGAAGGAGGGAGTATTATACATTTGTCTTTTACGTCATTGTACTTAATATTAAAGATATATTTATATTTGTATAATTTTTTGTACAAATATTTTTCTATTAATTAGTATTATAAGACACTCATTGAAATATATTTGCAATATTCTTTATTAATTTGCACTAGTTTTAATATAATAATTAATATTTAAATATCAACACGTAAAAAATAAATAGAACCCTTAGAGCCGGAAGTATATTGTATTATTCATGTTCAAAATATTTATATTTATACTTATTTATATTACCATAAATAATTATTTTTATTCACAATTTTATTATTTAAATTTCAAATTAAAAACAACTATTAATTTGGATAATATAATTTTATATAAATAATATTAAATAATATAATATATATATACATTAATATAATATATAATATAATATTTTATTTATTTATAAAAAATTAATAATTTAATACAAAATATTATTTTCATATTATAAACATAATTTTTCATACTTAGAGATTAAAAAACACAAAATTAACTAATCAACACAAAATTAACAAACCCAATCTGACACTTATATATGCGTTTTTTACTAAAGTTATTAATTCTCTTTTAAAATATTATATATATATATATTAAATATTTATTTTTCCATTCAAATAAATTATGTTCCATATATATTTAGTCATCTTATTTACACAATTCAAAGTGGTCGTTGTTCAGTATTATCCTTAGTAAATTTCTTATATATTTTTATTTTTTATATGAAGTACAAAATTTTTTATAATAATATAAAAATAATATTTTGTATTAAATTATTAATTTTTTTATAAAAAAATATAAAATAATACTCCAAATAGTGCATAAAATAAATATTACTATAACACAAATATATCATATAAATTGATGACACATATTACATATATCAGGTACCGTGATTAATATCAATACAATATTCAATTTCATTTAGTAGAAATGCATAATCCAAAGCGTTCTCGAAAAAGAGTGATTGTAAATTTTTTAACATAACATATAATATCATGATGCAAGCAAACACGCACTTAATTCAAATTATAAGAATTTATTATTATTGAAACTAAGTCAAAATATTTTATTTTGTGAATTTAATTCCAACTTTAATCGAACCAATATCGAATTCTTATTGATTAATTACTTAAACAAGTTGAACTTTGACTTCCAACATTATATACTCAACAACAACAAGATCTCACTTTTATCAAAACTTTCATATTTTATTCTTTTTTTTTTTTTTTTTTTCATTTTAGCAACTAGTTTTAACAAGTTCGATTTCGAAAAGTTCAACTTGTATAATAGACGTAACTAGTTTGAACAATATTAGTAGTTTTTTTTTTTTCGAACAATTCAACATGTATAAACATCTCGAATTAAATTTGAAGATATTATAGCCATTGTTGGGACCATATAATATAATTCAAAGAAAGTTGTGGTTTTTAAGATTCATCTTGTAAGGAAAGTCGGCGTGAGTGCAAATCATGTGTGGAGATGCACATATAGTTCGTGGGATAAAATCAAGAATTATTTACACATAATTTCCCTAACCCTAAAAAATTGTCAACCCAAATGTCCCAATGAATTGAACAAACCCCACCACTTTCGACAACTATGTATAATCTTTTCCCCCCAACCCACTATAAATACACATAGTGCTTGCCTCAATCAATTGCCAAGACCACAAAGTCATCAAGACAATCAATTCTATTACTCCTAACTACATACACCACGTCGAAATTAAGACATACATACACACAAACACAAAGCCCAAGAATATGAATCCTATGATCTTTCAATGTGCCCTTATTCTCCTCCTTGCTATTCCTACATATTCGATCCGTTTCGAATCTGATAAGGGTGAATTATTACACCACGACACGGGGTCAATAGACATGTCCGCAGGACCTAGTGACACGCCGGGTGCCCCAACCGGGGGGAGTGGATCGGGCCGAGGCCCGAATTGGGAGTACAATTGGGGATGGGGGGCGAGCCCGACTTCCGGGTGGGGTTACGGGTCGGGCTCGGGGAAGTCCCCTAATGGGTTCGGGAGGGGATTTGGTTTTGGGTTTGGGTCTGGGTCTGGGTCCGGGTCTGGATCTGGATTTGGATATGGAAGCGGCGGCGCTCATGGGGGCGGTCATGGGAGTGGTAGTGGCGCCGGGGGCAACAATGGAGAGCGTCCGATGTGGACTCCGAAGCATGGTTAGGTCGAAAAAAAAATGTTATGTCCTAAGAAAAAATTGTATTTGATGAGGACAAAAGTTGGATGTTAGGATTATGGTTTTTGGTATGTGTTGTTGGTACTATTATTGCATGTGTTTGTGTAATGCTTTTATGGGACTTACGTATGTTGTGTGTGTTACAATGTTTAGTGTGTTTATTTGGATGAAATTATGAGTTTGTGTGTGTGTGTGAAGTATTGTAGTATATGTGTATGTAATAATAATAGTGGTTGTGATGTTAAAATTATGTAGACCATGAATCAATATTCAATAATTTTTAACTTTTGTTGGGTAAAGGTAACGGTTGATTTCGCAATTAGAGTGTCTTTTTTTTATAAATTTTAAAAAATATATTTTTCAAAAAAAAGAAAACAATATATTACACATATTCATTATTTTTATATTACTTACACAATTATCTATGCGTCACATAAAAAAAAATATATCTTCAAGCAATTTTAGTAAACAAGCACCCCCAAGGTAATTATGAGTTCACTAATTTTAATATAAATTTATTTAGATGTAATAGTTAAAATTATTAATATTATGTGTTCATTAAAAAAAAAAAAAAAAAAAATTGTTGATGAACTCCTATAATTGTTTATAATAATATATTATTATTTTTACAAAATGTAATAAAGACACTAATGTAATTATCAAAAGATTGTTTTGTAAAAAATAGTTTGGTTTAATCAAATTTCAATTATTTTATATTGTTCTCATGGATATGGAAATACATCCATAAGTTTCTCTACTCAATCTAATTTTTATTTAAAGATATATTATTTATTTTTTATTTATGCATCTCGACTTTAGTTATTGTGATGTTATCGTAATTATGATTTCATTTTTAATTTATAAATTTTAACTATGGTGAATTCTTTAACTACTGTTGTTTCCTCAAAATAGATGTAACCTTTAGAGCATATACAATGGACCTCCTACAAGGCCTTTCAACACTTTTCAAAAGTTTTTTTTTTCTTTTTATCTGATTTTAAAAATTTGCTACACAACGGCTGATGGAACGAGGCCGAAGGTGTAAGAAAGTTTAGAAGAAGCTTGGTGCAATAGAGGCGACGGAGAGGCCAATTTATTCTCACACCAATTTTCATTCTTTCCCCACAAAATAATTTTCTACGGTCCGTCTACTCCCCACCGCGAATGAATATCCCATTTTCTTTTATCCTTTTTGTTTGTTCCCGCAAAAAATTAAATCACTCCGTAGAAATGTTGGAACCGAATGGAGAATGATACCTTTTTTTTTATATAATGTGGGAACCTACAACAACTACTTGACGAGTGCATTTTGGATAAATTCTTGACCGAACCTAATAGCATGTAAACTAAGTCGGACAAATCAAGTTACACTAGAAAAACCACAGACAGAGACTTAACTACACAGGGGTTAGGGGGTAGTTGACCCTACAACCCCTAAAATATTGGATTTTTTTAAGGATTTTGTCCCCTTCTATTTTTCAATTTTTTTTATATTATAGTGTAAAAAATAATAAACTTTTTGTAGTTAAATATTTCTCTAAAAAATTAATTTTTAGGGCTGATTCCATCACTGGTGGTGGCAGACAAAACCTAGAGGCGTCGGAGGTTTGTACTCTTTACTTCACGATCACTAGTCCATCCTCACACCACCAGACTATCTTTAAATGAGAGACATAATACTTTGCAAGAGAAGAAGTGGTTTTGAGGGAAGTTTAAATTGTTTGTGTAATAAATTTTTTAATTGTCTCTATTACTCAAAATTAATTTAGACAGGTGAATCAAGTTCAAAGTAGGAATTTTTTTTTTTTTTTTTCTTGAGACTATTGTACATGCTCTTAGACCTTTGTGAAGTAATTTTATCTCTCCGGACATGAGATTTTTTTTCTTTATCGACGATATTACTCTCATCATGTTTGTCGGTGTTTTTCAATTGTGGTGTTGTTTTAAGAAAATATGAGATCGATTTATCTTTAGTTAGGAAATATATGAACATATAGGATTACTGCTAACCGTAGATCATCCTTGAGGAAGAGGACGATTTGTCTCATGTTTTTCTTTGTTCCCGTCTATTTATATTTTTATTTAGTTATTATACATCTTTACCGATTTTATAAACTATGAGAATTTGATTTAAATTTTTTCTTATATCTCTATCTAAATTAAATTGTTTCAAACCATATCATAACATTTTTATCAATATAATCACATCATCAGTTCCAAAATTATTTAAATCTATGACATCCATCCAGGTAATCAATTGTCTAATGATGAATAAATTTGACATTCCAAAAAATAAATTATCTGATAGTTCAGTAAAAAAATGATATATCCAACTATTTGAAATTAAGAAAATGAAAATGTTACTAGTGTTAATTACTTGATATAATCTGTATTTTTTCATTATTTTTGTTGATAGCATGACAAGACTAAATAAATAAAACATAGAAAAATAAAATTTTATATTTTGTGTTGTTTTCTTTTACTTTTTGTGATATTTTGGTAATTACGCCTCAACTGTTAACAAGTTAAAAATAAAGCAAATTTGCTTCTAACTTATACGTGGTTTAGAAAGTAGTATCCTATCTATTGCGATTTAGAAATATTGCAAAAATATTTTTAAAAATTGCAATGAAATTATCTTGTATTTTTTAAATATTGTACAATCTCCTAAAAATAATTTTTTTGGCAGTGTCTGAAAAAACACAAGAGAGTTTTAAACCATTTTTGAAAAATAAAAAAGAATGATGCAACTTTCCAAATTATAAGAGATCTAATTTACCTAAAAATAAAAAAGAATAATGTTTTTTTTTTTTTTTTTTTTTTTTAACTTTGGTAGTTATAAAAGGGAAAGATAATTTCATTAATTTATTTAATATTGTATATATAAAAAAAATTTCTAACTTTCACTTTCTTTGACATTTTGTTAGATTAAGGCGTGAGTGAGAATCAAATTTTAGTATGTCTTTTTACAACTTAGAATGAATGCATTGTGTTTAAAATAAAAAGTATATACTCCCTACGTCCCATAACAAAGTATTCATTTTTTCATTTTAGTCCGTCTCATAACAAAATATCTATTTTCTTTTTTAGTAACTGTACTGTCTACCTAAGATTACAAATACCCTTACAACTTACAATATATTACACAAATATCATTACATTTATATCACAAATACTAATAAGGTTATTTTAGTCATTTCTATTTTATTCCTATTATATTCCAATATAATACTAATATTTTTAAAATTACGTACAAAAAGCAAATGGATATTTAATTTCGGGAAGGAGAGAGTATAAAGTGTTATATCCTATGAAAATGCTTTTAATTAAAATATTTCTCTATATATCTATGAGAATATTTTTTATGGGACATATGTGGTTTGATTATTATGTAATATTTATCTTATAAATAATTATATTTTAAGTTTTAATTTAAATAAAATTTTATATAATGATATGTGAGACGGAAAATAATTTTTTATTTTTTATTTTCAATAAAAACTCAACACTAGTAAAAAATATGAATTAATTCAATAATAAAAATCATAAGCATATATACTTGTTTTTTTACCAATTTCAATTTAAATTTAGAATGTTTATCGTGCACAATTTTCAATAAAATATAGTACTGTTTTTTTAAAAAAATTCACATTAAAATACTATTTAAATAAAAATTTAAATGAATAGTCAATTTCAAATTATAATCAAACATACTCAACTACTTTGATCTAATTCTTAATTTATACAAAAATAAAATACGGTATTATGAAAAGTTTATTAAAAATAAAGTAATAAATTATGTAGAAAAATAGTACTCCCTCCAGCCGTGAAAATTAGTTACGTCTAGGTAGTACTCCCTCCGGCCATGAAAACTGGTTACGTAGGCCGTGAAAATTAGTTATGTTTAGGAAACGTAACTAATTTTAACGGACGGAGGGAGTAACAAGTTAGTTATTACTTTATCTGTTTGTCAAATTTATTTTTATTTTTTTCGTTTATTTGTTAAATTTATTTCATTAATATCTTTAAGAAAGTAAAAGAAAAAAAAATACTATTAAATATTTATTTATAACAAATGTTATTAACTTTATTATATTTTTTTCACTTTTATATTATTTAATTACTAATTAAATTTTAAAAAATACTCGTAGGGTGTGTTTGTTTGGGGGATTTTGTGGGATTTCTACTATTCCCACAAAATTTTCCCTCCAAAAATATCAAATCAAACATTTATTTTTCATTTTTTATATTATACTAAAAATCAATTTTACATTCAAAACATCACATCAATTCTTATTTATATCACATCATACAACTATTCAAATTCAAAATTTTTACTATTCAAATCCCAACCCAAAATCCAAACCCACAAACAAACACACCCGTAACTTCTTTTTAAATTTTGGTATTTTTAATAAAATATTAATTTTTCTTATATTTCGTAATATACCCAAAGTATTTGTTAAATAAAAATAATAAAATTATTTAATTAAGTATCTCTCTCTTTTTTCTCTCTCTATATATTTCTCTTCTCTCTATATATATATTTATTTATTTATTTCAACCCAAATTAATTTTGTAGTTAGCAGGAAGAACAGAAAGTGGAGTCCCACAAATACAATGTCCCTATATCATCATCAATTCATCACTCTTGTTTTTCTTTTCTACTTGCTTTTCTTCCATTATTCCTCTGCAATACGCACTGCTTCCCGTAAAAATGCTCAGTCGCCGGAGATTCCAGCCGGCGCGGCGGCGGCCGGTGGCGTCTCCGCCCGTGGCCTGAACTTGGGGTGGGGGTGGGGGTGGGGCAGCACCCCTACTTCGGAATCGGGATGGGGCTGGGGCTGGGGGAGTAGCTCCGGCTGGGGGTGGGGGTGGAGCTCCGAAAACCGCAGCGGCGGCGGCGGCGGCGGCGACCCTTCCGGCTGAAGCGGACGTGGATGAATTTGGTAAAATTTGGTTTGCAGTAGATGCTGGTGTATGGACACGTGGCGGTCACGTGACATGCACGCGAGAAATTATGATGTCATTTTTTAATATTGGATTGTGGCGTATCTGGAACTAACCAATAAATAAAGTTAATTTATGTATGTCCACTTCTTTTTTTCTCTTTTTTTTTTTTGAAAAAAAAAATTAATGTTGCAGCTCTATTTATATATATATATATATATATTTGAAGTTTTGTTTTTATTTATTAAAAGTAATTTTTTTTAATATTTATTTAACATCTAAAACTTAAAAAATAAAATCACTATAAATATGTAATTATACTATCTTTTTTTCCAAATATATATATTATTTATTATTAGAAATTTTCAAATTTATTATCAGAAATGTTAATTTAATTATCATATTATATTCTTAAAAATATACAAAAACATTTAAAATACATCATCAGATTATTTTTATAATTATAGAGGATACTTATAAATAATATATATATATATAAATTGATTTAATAAATTTATTATAAAATTTATAAAAATATAAAATTTTATTTTTTATCATAAAATTTATTTTATATAATTATATTCATTTATTTAGCTAGTAAAATATATTCTTCACAATTTATAAATTCGTACTTTTTGTACACAAAGTCTGTCACATGACCTTAAAATACTGGATAGAACCAAAGCGAAAACACTGGATAGAACCAAAGCGAGTGTAGTTGTGTAGGACGTGAAAATCACTTACGGCCCATGCGGCTCAGGTACGAAGAATGTAATTTTTAGAATATACAAGATATATTTTGCAAACAAGATAAAAGGAAAAAAGAAAATAATAATTAAATATATATATATAGATGTTATTTTTTGCAATTTTTTCGTTGTTTGATACTCCCTCCGTCCCATAACAAGGTATCTATTTATTTTTTGTGTCATTGTACTTAACGTTAAAAATATCCTTATATTTGTATAATTTTTTATACAAATGTCATTATATTAGTATTATAAGATACTAATAGAAATATTTTTGCAATTTTTCCTTGATTTGTAATACATTTTGATATAATAATTAATATCCAAATATCAACACGCAAAAAATAAATAGATACTTAGTTATGAGACGGAGGAAGTATACTATTATTTTATTTAAAAATTTAGTAATGGATGTAATAATTTTTAAAAAATAAATTGCAACAATGTATAGAATAATATATATAATAATAATAATAACCCATTTTATTTTTTCAAAATATTTTATATGATTCTCAGTAAATATTACTAAAAGTATAAGATATAATATATATAATGTTATTTACACGTAAAAAAATTAATAACTTATCGCATAATATTATTTGTATATTATTAATTTTATTCTCTATAAACATATATATATATAAAACATAGTGAGCAAGGACTCTCAAACAAAAAAAAAAATATATTATTCCCTCCGTCCCACGCAGTTTGTCCCTATTTTTTATTTTCATCCGTCCCACATAATTTGTGCTTTCTATTTTTGAAAATATAATTATATACTTTAATCGCATTTTAAATTTTAAATTTTATAATTTTTTTAATTTTAATTAAACTATTTATTTATTTTAATCTTAATCTATAATTATTTTTACTAATACACTTCTTAAGTACTTACTAATTATACTTTACTTAAATTTCCGTGTCTACAGTAATACACCCATATTACATGGGACAGAAGGAGTACTACCTTTACACAATAGTATAAAAATATTATTTAAATTCAAATTCATATCAAAATTAAAATTAAAACAAATTTTTTCAATGAGATAATCTGTTTTATCAAAGCCTTGGATTTGATACCTACTAAGTTTATTTATTTGTTTTATTTAAATTTAACATTCAAATTAATACTACTTCATTCGTCTTAATACAATAATCTTATTTATTATTTTTATCCATTTCAAAACAATAGTCTTGTTTACTATTTTTGTCCATTTCAAAACAATAGTCTTATTTTCATAAATAACCATATCACATAAAACTACCCATATTTTTTCATTTTTATTACACAATTGTCACTACTTTTTGCACTAATACACTCACAAGGACAAAAAAGTCTTTTATCTATACTTTTTACCAACGGATGGAGTATTTGATTTGAATATTTTCAAAAAAAATAATAATTTTTATCTAAAAAAAATACTCCTATTAAAATATTATTAAATTGAAATTCCAATCATATGCCAAAAAAAAAAGAAAAAAAACCCATGAATTTCAATTATTCAGTTTGAATCTGAGCAGATTAGTAACTTAAATAAATCACCTTCGCTCCACTAATGTACTTACTAATTAATTTTTTTTTACTACAAATATTCAATTAAATTTATTACATTAACTACCACTGGTACTCCTTTCGTCCCAGATACCGTGTCTACAGTGTATAATTAGTGAAAATAATTAATAATGTATTAGTAAAAATAATTATCTTATAATATAAATAATTATAAATTAAGATTAAGATAACTAATTAGTTTAATTAAAATTAAAAAAAAAATTAAAATTTAAAATGAGATTAAAGTGTGTAATCATTTTTCAAAAAAGAAAAATGACATAATATGTGTAACAAACAAAAACGACAACGTGGACATGATATCTGGACGGAGCAGTATTATTATACCTTTATGCTTTTACCTGTGACTTAAATGCATAGGTACCCTATAATCCGTTCGCCAGATAGTACAGTTGAATTAGCATTAATTAAATATACGCATTAATTGCAATATAATTATTTTCCTATTACGAGTAGGGTTGTTTGATTTTTCTTTGAAAATGAAATTTTTTAGTTTAATTTTTTATTTAAATACTATTATTTTCAAATAATATTTTATAAAATATAATAATAATACTACTTTAGTTCGGCTGACTCTAACGATCTTATTTATGTTTTGAGTGTTGATATTTAAATATTAATTATTATATAAAAATATAGTATAAGGAAAAAGGTCAAAAATACTTATTTCTTCCGTCTCATATTTATATATTCATTTGTTTTTTTTTTCACGGAGTTTTAAAAATATTAGTATTATATTGGGATAAAATAGAAATAAAAGTAAAAATACTAAATTAACCCTATTAGTATTGTATGATATAAAAGTAACGACATTTGTTTAATATATTGTAAATTAGAAGGGTATTTGTAAGTTAAGTAGGTAGTACAATTACTAAAAGAAGATATAAATATTTTGTTATGAGACAGACTAAAATAGAAAAATGGATAGATTGTTAAGGGAATATAATACTATTATAATAACATTTATGTAAAAAATTATACAAATTTAAAAATATTTTTAATATTAAATATAATAACGCAAAAGGTAAACGAGACTCTTAGAACTGGACGAATAGAGAATATATTTTTAGAACTATTAAATAAATTTTAAATGATAACATTTTGCCCACCTACAGATAATCCTATCATAATGTTTGCGTATATATATATATATTCATTCCAAAAGCATAAATAAAAAATAATTACATATAGCATTATATTTAATTAGTAACTATGAGTCCCACAATTTGCCAAATAATCCTTCTCTTCTTAATTATCGTTCATTCTTCCGCGATAAGGATCAACGATGAAGAATTCCGGCAGACGGATGCGACGGAGATATCTACCGGCGACGTCCTCGCGGCGGAATCCGGCGCCGGAGGTGGTATCTCCGCCGAAGGCCAGGGTAGCGGATCCGGGTGGGGCTGGGGATGGGGCTCTGGAAGCGGATCTGGATCCGGATCCGGATCCAAATACAAGTTCGGATTTGGGTTTAAATTTGGGTTCGGCGACGGAAGAAACTGATATGGATATATCGGAGGAGAAAATGGTCATTTACTGTACTAATTATGTGTGCTTCAAACAAGTAACGACCATTTGGATCTGCAAATTAAATAATTTGAGTAGTATTTTTCCAGTTTTTCTTTTATTATTTAGATTTTATTAGGAGTATTAATTCATATTTTCGGATTGTGTTTTTGTTAAGTTAAAATAGGAATATAACAAAAAATTTGTTCATTCGAACACGGTCTGAATCCGATTTTCAACAAAAAAATTTATAAATCGAACACGACACGAGTTCTTAAGTTTATAGGGTTAACCGAAATTTATTTCGAGTCACCTGATAACATGAACTAACACGATCAACCAAATACAAAATAAATTGAAAATACGAAATTGATATGAAATAATCTGATATTTTATTAAAACAAAGTTCAAATAATTAAAACTTACATATATAATAAAATATAAGGTAACAAAAAAATATATACATAGAGAAAGATAGGGATAGGGAAGAAGATGACATAATACAAATTTAAATGGATAACAAAAATTTTAGGTTATATATTTTTTATTATTAAAATTTTAAATAACAACATAATGCAATTCTTTTAATATTATTTCTTTATAATATAATTTACTTTGAAATTAAATAAAAATTATTAATTATTATTGTAAAATCAAATCATCGGTGTTGGTGTTGATGAGTGATAGTGAAGGATGTTAAGGGTCTTGTCCCATATAGGAATACCAAACAAAATTTAATTCATTTAAATGTATTGTAGTCTCATTTATTCTAAATGGACTAATTGAGATTGGATTGGATCTGTTTGAGCCTTGGGTTTGATGGGCATTGAGACTATGGGGCGGGTGGGTTAAACTCAATCGTACGGGTTTTGTGGCGTGCGACGCGAGACTCAAATTTTCGACAATAAGATGACCTGACTTTTATATTTTAGATTATTGTATCAACCTAATTCAACATATTTTTTTTTTTTTTTTCATTTTGAATTCAGATCGACCTGAATGATAAAAAATCCAAAACATTCAAACACAATCGAGAAAAATTCAAAACTATACTCTTGGAATGTATCTCGTAAAAATTCTGTCTTTTAATTAAAATAAGCCACATGAAGTGACACATTTATATCTTAGGATTGATGGGTTTTTTCGAACAATAT